ACGGGGAGGCCCTATGTCCTATCAAACTTGTGGCGGAAGGTGAGCGAAAGAAACACGACTTTGACTGCAGCCGGCGGGTTGACTTCAAGTCGTCGGATGAGTACATATTAGAGTGCGGATTCCATTTCCCAGTAGAGATTAATAGTTGACGGAATGCAGCGCCCACAAGTATGAATTTTTATTTTTATTTTTATTTTTTTTAGGGCAGTGTTGTTTAAGCAAAAATCAGGACTATCAGTTACAAATTATATCCTTTATTCTGTCTCAAATTAAGAAATCTTTTGTGACTGAGAAAAAGTTTTGTAGGCTTTAGGATTCTTGTGTCCTAGCTCCCTATGTTGATGCTTTTTTCTGTTGAAAAGTTTCAAAAGTGTTTTTATTTTTTTCTTTTTGATGGGTGGAAAAGTCAGGAAATAATTACTGAATTGCATTTTTCTGAATTTTTTGTAGAAAAATTTCACAAGTATGGAAGTATCTTTAGCTAGGTGCAAGGAGTTCAACTACAAAGATAAAAAGTAAGAAGGGAAAAGAAATTTCAATTGCAAATTAAAAAATAACTGACAATAATCATCGCAAGATAAAAGCTTGTAAAGGTATCGAAGGAGAATTGGACCACTCTTCAATTGTCTGTTGGCACGTTCAGGCAAGTTGGAGCAAAAAAAAAAAAAAAACCCGATGAAATTGCATTTTTTTTAATCCTCTCACCCGCTCCAACATCCTTCTTTTTAGGGGTGCAAACGAATCGAGTCGAGTTGAGTTTTGACATAATCGAGTCGAGTCTTAATTTAGTTTTATTAAACTCGACCTCGAATTGGACAAACTACCAATTTAAAGCTCGAACTCGAAAAATAAATAATAATTTTTTTTATTTTTAAAAAAATAAATATTAGAAATATATAATTTTAATAGTAAAATAAAAATAAAAATATATATATATACTTGAGTTCACAAACCAACTCGTGAACTAACGAGCTTGATATTTTTAAACTTAAACTCGAGCTTGATTTGATCAGTTTGAGCTCGACTTGAGCACTCATGAGCCACTCGCGAGCAGTTCGATTTGTTTGCAACCCTACTTCTTATTTCTGACTATCACACACAAAATTTGAACTCCGAACTCGATGAAATTGCTTGAGTGAAAGCACAATTTAAAAAAAAAAAAAAGAAAAAATCTTTCAAGTGAAGCACATCCATTGCAAATTTGCACATGTGCGACTCAAAATCATTGGCAAATGATAGTGTAGTTGGGCCAAGTCTTAAACCTATTTATATGCTGTCACCATCCCACTGTATTTGTTGATAGTTACTCCGTCACTAAGTTGTTTCACTGCTCAAAATGGTAGAAGTGACCCGTTTGAATTATTATCTTTTAAAATTTTTATAAAAAAATATATTATAATAATTTGATATATATAAAATAAAAAATTAATTAATAAATGTGTTCATATAAAATATAAAAGTTATTTTGGAAAAAAAAAAGATTTTTCAAACATAAGCTTGGGTTAAAAACACCAAACTCTTGGTGACTGCGTAGTGCTTCGTGTGCCTGTGTGGCATACTGTAACTAACAATACATTCTACATAAGTCACTAATTGAAAGCAGGTGCGTTTGATAAAATTAAATTCTGAAAATTAAAATATAAAATTTAGATTGATTAATTTATTGAATTGTTAAGTACTAAATTTGATATATTTAAATGTATATCAAATTAAGTGATGAATGAATAACTTATCACTTATTTTTAGGAGAAAATTTTGCCTAAAAAATTCGGTTTCATTAAATTTATTCAGATGTTTAATTTTTTGTTATCAAACTAGTCTAAATATTTTAATATTTGAATCTATTAAGCAAGTGCTGAATTGAACTAGGGATAATTTCAAAAATTGCTCCTGAGATTTTTGACAATTTCACTAGCCTCCCCTGAAGTTTATAAAATTACACAAACCTCCTCTGAGGTTAAGGTTTTGATAACAAAATTAGTCCAATTTAAAAAAGTAACATTAAAAAAGTACTTTAAGGAGAGAGATGAAACTTTTATTCTATAAATACCCTTTATGCATGTACATAAGTCGTATTAGTAAAAAAATAAAAATAATTAAAAGTTAGAAACAATTAATACACATATTTAACCACTAAAAAAGTTCACATTTAATAAATTAGACAACACAGATAAGTAACAAAACTACACTCATGATTACAAGATTTAGCAAAATAGACTGGTCATCTCTTTTAATAATGATTCTTGTAATTTTGAACAGAAAAATTTTCGAATTTTGCCTTTTTCCCCTCCTTTCAGTTTTCTTTGAAATTCTTAAAGTTGTGACAATTGTAAAGTAATTTTATGGAAATAAAGGAGGCAATTGTAAAGTAATTTCATGGAAATAAGGGAGAAAGAAGAGAAAAGAAAAAGACAAAATTTGAAAATTTTTCAGTTCAAAATCACAAGAATCATAGCAAACATTAAATTAAAAGATATGACTAGTCTGTTTTATTAAATATTGTAATCATTAGTGTAGTTTTATTACTTATTTGTGTTGTCTCATTTATTAGGAGAGAAAAGACAGACAAAATTTTAAAATTTTTCTGTTCAAAATCATAAGAATCATAGCAAACATTAAGTTAAAAGAAATGACTAGTTTGTTTTACTGAATTTTGTAATCATTAGTGTAGTTTTATTAGTTATCTGTGTTATCTAATTTATTGAATGTGAACTTTTTGAGTGGTTAAATGTGTGTATTAATTGTTTCTAACTTTTAATTATTTTTATTCTTTTACTAATACAACTTATATACAAGCATGAGGGGTATTTATATAATAAAAGTTTCATCTTTCTCTTTAAAGTACTTTTTTAATGTTACTTTTTTAATTGGACTAACTTTATTATCAAAACCTTAATCACAAATCAGGGGCGGATTAAAGGTGGGGGCACGGGCTCCCACTGCCCCCCTTAAATTTCTATAATACTTATATAATTTTGATATAATTTTAAGTGTGACCCCAGAGTTTTCTTAGAAAAGATGTGAAAAAATTACGTAATTTTTTAAGTTAGTTCATAAACTAAAATTCTAAAAAGAAATGTGGGGCACAAATTCCATTTGAAATAAGATTAAAAAAAAAGCCTTTTCATTTCAACAAGCAAGTACCAATCATATCATTCATTTTCTTTGGATCCTACTCCCCAATTTCCCTTCCTTCCTTTGGTCCCCCATTTTTTCCCCACAGTCGAGAGTCACTATCTTCCACAACCAAGCAGCTAGTTACTCTTTCTTTTGATCAATTCATCTAATCATATCATTTACTTTCTTTGTCCCCACTTCCCAATTTTCCTTCCCTCCACTGATTCCCCATTTTTCCCCCACAATCGAGAGCCATTCTTACTTCCACAGCCAAGTTAGTTATTAAAATATAAAAACTCGCAATGAGCAATTGTAAATAGTTTAGTTTGTTTTTGAAATAAAATTATTATTACATTAATAATTTTGAATTTGTCTTTTTATATTTTTCATGGAATATATGCATCATTTGTACTTGTTGGTGAATTTTTTTTTCGCTTAAAAAATTAGAAAAAGAGTAGATAAAAAATTTTAGTGTTGATTTTGCCCCATTAAGAATTTTTTCTGGCTCCGCCGCTGTCACAAATGTACTTCCCCAGTGGCGACTTCTAAAGTGAATGGTGCTGGAAAAAAGATAAAGCATATTGCAACTAACTACTAGCAAACTTGAAGAAAACTCAATGATCTGACAATGACAGAATAGTGAAAGTGCATTATACAGTAGTGCTTTCAATCTTATTACCAACCGAAAATTCAGACTCAGAATCATATGAGGTCCCACCCCGAAAAGCTATTTACCCGTTCTTTGGAAATTTACTCAGCCATGACAAGTCCAATCCTTATATAATGATCCCAGGTTCGATTGGCTTAGGCCAAGCACAGAGATGCTGCACCAATTCTGCAGCTTCAATACCAACAGCTGATCACACTTGTTATCAAGCCGTGAGCTGGAGGGAATAGGACACACAAACATGAGAAGCATATGGGCGATGCTGATTCTATTAGTCACTCTTCAATGTACATTTCTCCCATGTCATATTGACTCTAGAATTCTTCTTTCCACTCATGCAGCAGAGAATGAGATTGCAAGCCCTGAAGTTCCCTGGAAATCTGATCCATGGGAGAGCATAAGAAGCCACTTTGGCAGGAGATTCAGAATGCGTTACCTAGCTTCTGGCCCAAATGGAAGGGGCACCGGGCACGAGTGAAATTTGTTTCTACTTGGAGTTTGCCAATGAAAGTTGATTTCCATTTCCTTTTCAGTGTTCGAATAGAGTCCAACAATGAACTGCTGCATGTTATGCGCATTCCATTTTATGTATCAAGAAAATTCTTATCAAGTAACTGCCCTACTCAGCAAGCAATTGCTGACGAGTCTTTTATCTTTTTCACGTTGCAATAGCTATTATCAGAACTAGCTATTTCAGAATCATTCTGATTTTTTTTTTGGTTACAACCATGTAATAGCAGAAGTATTCTTTTAGTTTATCTCCATAGGAAGTTTTTCCTTGATCTTTTCCGTGTATTTATTTTAGCCTCTGAAAGGTCCTTCAGACTTGGTCGGATTCAAGTTTCTAGCTTTCTAGTCAAAGCTGTAAAAGAGGTAGCAACACCGATATGAGGAATCTCATTCCCTTCCTAAAAATTGCTAAACTTAATAAGTTTTTGGTAGTAGCTCAGCTTGCATTCCTTAAAAATTGAACAACTTGCTAATGCACTACGGGAAAGATTCAAAACATTTCTCAAACAGCAGTTGGTATCCTCTGTACTACTACTCGGTGCCAAATTCAGTGCCAATCTCACTTATCACGTGATGATAGAAGAAATTTTAATAAATAGCACATGACAAATTAAATAAACAAGACACTTGACATAAATATAGAAGTGACACTGAATTGCCACTGAAAAAGTGACACTGAGGATCCCGTGTGCTCAAACAAGCAATGGATCTACACGGTTACAGCAAGGTAAGAAGAGCAATGCTGAGTAATTTTACAAGCTATTTATTGTTTTATTAACTACTTCTCTTGAGAGACTGCAATGGAACTTCAGTTCTGAAAGCTAGAATGTAATCACTTGTACATCATCTAGCATCCTCCATCCTTAGCTGAGAGAACACCTCACTAGGATTTGTGCTACTTCTCTCAATATTAGCATCTGAGCCAATTTCATCTTCACTACTCATGGCAATGCTGTGAGAAGGCAAGCGGCGAATTCCTGGCAATGGCAAGTTGTTGGAAACATCCGTGTTGCTGCCCTCATGCGATTGTTCTGGAACTGCAGTGTGCTGAAGCTGCAATGCATACTCAAGATCCCACAACACATCAGCCATATTAGGCCTATCAACTCCACATTCTTTTAAACACTTCTCAACAGTTTCCCCATATCTGCTCAATGAATTCGAGTTGATCTTACCAACAAGAAAAGGGTCAATGATTTTGTGAAGTTCTCCTTCCATTAGACAAGACATTCCCCAGTCAGCCAGGTTTACTTGCTGCCTGGGAAGCGAGTTGTCAATGGCTGGCCTTGCACAAAGCACTTCAAGAAGTACAACCCCAAAACAGTGCACATCAGATTTTTTAGTTAATTGAAGGCATCTAAAGTACTCAGGGTCAAGATAACCAAAGCTGCCTTTCACCTCTGTACTGACATGGCTTTGTTCAAGAGGACCTAATCTTGAAATACCAAAATCGGCAACTTTAGCCACATAATGCACATCTAGCAGAATATTTGTTGACTTCACATCCCTGTGAATAATTGAACCACCTAGACCAGTATGAAGGTAGTGTAGACCTTTTGCTGCATCAATGCACAATTGAAGCCTTCTATTCCAAGATAATCCAGATACTGAAGTTGATTTCCCAGATTCTTCCTTAGGAGTGTACAGATGGTCTCTCAGAGTCCCCTTCTCCATGAACTCAAAAACTAGTGCCATCTCTGATCTTTCATAGCAGTATCCAATCAAAGAAACCAGATGGCGGTGGCGAATTTTGGACAAGACCATTATCTCAGTTTGGAATTCTGGAAGCCCCTGCGTTCGTCCTGGTTCACTTCTTTTAACAGCAACTTTTGTTCCATCCCTCAGAGTACCTTTGTAGACTTTGCCAAAACCCCTTCACCGACAATCAGTTTCTCATCAAAGTTCTTTGTGGCGTACAGAATTTCACCAAAAGGCATCTTCAGGCCAAGATTTAAATTCGGAAGAAGGGAACCATCGGTATTTCTGTCCGTGCTCTTGCTATATGAACTTCCTGCATTCAGATCCATTAATTACCAATCAAGAGCATCGACCGGTTTTCCTTTCCTCAACTTCAAACTAAACCAGAACATGATACGAAATTTGACGTTACAAGAACCTATCTTGAAGAACCAAGTTGATCAGACAGCGGAAGGATCTATCTTGACCAGGTTATGGAACAATAACTACCTTGCTAGGCCTAAAGAGAACTCGTCTCTAGAAACCTAGTAGATTGGTTATTGGTGTGGAACAATAACTACCTTACTAGACCTAAAGAGAATCCGTCTCTAGAAATCTAGTGGATTGGTTATTAGCTTGAAAGAACAAGATGATGTGATCATTTTGCCTTGAACACCACAAGTATCCACGCTAAATACTTGATACTGTTCAAGAAGAAACTCAAGTTCCATCGAGGAACTCCATAAAAGGAGACAACTCTCTTTTTACTAATTTATCTTCAATATCATATTTGAATAGTTAAATAAAGTTGGCTATTTATAGCCTTACAAGACTCAAAACCTTAATCTAAATTGGAAACAATACAAGTTTCCTTATTTGACTTGACACAACTTCCTAAATAAATTTGGAAACAATTAACTACTTTCCTAAAACTCTAATTCAATTAGAATAGGAAACTAACTGACCCAATTGGCTTAACTATGGTCAACATGACCTTAGCCTTTATTTCCTTTAATAACTCAAGACTAACTAACAAATATTGCTGGAAACTTACTTAAATAAATAACAAGAAATAAGCATGACAAATCTTCAATGATTCTTGAATTCGATTGCACCATCAACCATCAATCGAATTTTCTTGAATTTGAAGGGAATCCAAATTTTCATGTTCTCATCATTCCCCTCCTCTTTAAAGACGATTTGTCCTCAAATCGAGTGCTTGCTTACAAAGGAGTAACTCGGAAAATGTCTTGATAAATGCAATCCAAGAAGCATGTCGCCAACTCAACTTGATTATGAACACGAACCATTGGACATGCTCCATTTGTCAAGAATATCTTCACCCAATTGTATTTGGCTAGAATTTGGAAGTCAACCAATATTTGAAAATCAATCAAGATTTGGCAATCAATCAAGATATCAATCAAGATTTGGAAATCAATTAAGATTTAGAAATCAATCAAGATATCAATCAAGATTTGAAAATTAATCAAGATTTGGAAACCATTCAAGGCAAGACTGCCTTTTTTTTTTTCCTTCTTTCTTCCTTTTTTGTTTTTCTAACTTGCCAATTCAAGAAAATAAGGTAGTCGCACTTCAAGATTCAAGAGGATGATTTTTAGGGTTTTCAAAATATCAAGATTTTTTTTTCAAGAACCCACTATGCAATCCAAGAACTTCAAAAAATTACCAAACCAACTACAAGAAACAAACACAAGGTAAAAATAATAATTTTTTTTCTGATGAACAGTACTGCTATAGTCATGAACAGTACCGGTGAAAAGTACTGCCGTGAACAGTTTCAATTTTTTTTTTTTTTTTTGCTTTTGACGACTCAACACAAGGTTACGACTTCATTTGGAAGAAATTTAATGGGAGTTAAACTATTGAAAAACCTGTTTTTGATAGGGTGTAATTTTTTCATTTATTTTATTATTTATTTTTCCTATTACCTGACCTGATGTGGATTAACTGCTGGATTCTACTCATTTTTAGTATTTTGTATTTATTTTAGGGAGTAGAACAAAAATATAATAACAGGTGCCAATTTGACAGAAAAGGAGTTCAAATGATAGAACTTGTCCCAGGGGCATTTTTGGAAAAGAAGATGTCACGCCCATTTTGGTAATTTCTGCAAAGGAATGACGGACGAAGGGCTTCTTCTCCCTGGTGTGCCGCCACAATTAAAAAGAAGAGCAATTAGTATAGGAACAAAAGGGGGTAGCAGAGAGTTGGACTATGGTTTTTGCTTTCCTTTTTCCTTTAGCTTTGACTTTTCTTCCTTAGCTTGTGGTAGTGGGATTCATCTACGGATGTCAGGAGCAAAATTGGAAAAACCTTGACTTTTCTTCATCTGAACTATTGGCAATTGCTTTTGCTTTTCGTATATCATCCGAAGTGAAACAGAGGCCTACTTCTTGTAACTTTGCTATCTTTTCTTGATTGAAATGAATTCGCTCATTTTCCAATTGATGGCCGCTGCTTCCTTTACAATTTCCTGTGGGTTTTGTTCATCAAACATGTACTAATTTTTTCACTCTAGTCAAGGGACAACGGAGGCTTTGGTTCGCCTAAAATTGTGAGATCGATTTAATTTAATCTTTTTTTTTATTTATTGGTATTCGCACATTTCTTGATTGCTATGCTTATGATTATTTAATTAATTGATTGTCGTGGATCCAGATAATTAATTGATTTGGTAATCTTTTGTCAATTAGGGTATTAAATTCGTAATTGTTTAATTGTCTTGAAATAGTGACAGGTGCCGAACCTGTACAATAATAAATACCTACTCGAGAAAAATACAGATTTTGTATATAGCGGTGAGTAGGGTCGAATCCACAGGGACTGGGGATAATTCGTTTCTTTTAGAGTTCAAAGTATGGGGGGTTTTGGATTAAATGCTAACTAAATAAATTAACTGCAGAAAATAATTGATTAAGAGAAATAATTAAGGGAAAACTCTAGCCAAGGGTACACTTCAGAAATGGTTCATGTACTGATCATCGATTCACAGATAATTCCATATTTATTAATAGATTAGTTATAGTTGTCATGCACGCGATAAACAACCAACCCTTCCTTAATTTATCGATAGTCAAGGTACGACCGTTAACTATTTATCTAACCCGGAAATAACCCTAGGTACGACCGTAGGATTTAATTTCTAGATTGCATTAATAATTAGAAAGGCCCAATCCTAACTAACAAACACGCTACGAGAGTTTGTTTAAATTAGATCATATGTTCCCCTGACATAAACTCAATTACGCCAGTTGCCACTGAGATAGGGATAACGAACAATTACGGATTCAATTACCCCTAATTAGCAAAATAGCCTATATGAATAATTAAATATTACGCACTAATCAATCATCCACACGAGTTATAACGGTTAAAAGCAGGAAACATATGAATACCAATAAATGAAAGAAGCAATTAAAATAAATTAGATCTCACAGTAATTGTTGAACCAAATCTTCAGTTGTCCCCTAAACTAGAATTGAGAAACTAGTTCTCCATTAATGGAGAACCAGCCGTGCGAAAATAAAACAATCGGAGCTTTCTAATGTTTTCAGATGGAAAAAAGAAACTAAAGCTGCGCTCCCAATTACACGTGAATCTGGCCCTTTTATATCTTTAGTAGCCGCCGCCCTCGAGAAAGCTAACATCTGACGCTCAAAAGCAAAAGCTAAGCTAATGACTAAATGCCCTCTCGTAAATCTGGCTTTTTTTTCTCCTTTATAGCGCCGCCAGGAGCCAAGAAAACGTTTGACCCAATTAATGAAACCAAAGCTAATCTTTTGGAGTTTTAATCCCACGCTTCTCGCGGTTCACGTGGACCCAACCTTCTAATTGCCTATTTTTGCTGCTACCAAGCCCGCGGGTCCGGCCAAGAAGGCTGGAGTTAGGCGTGGGCACACCTACTCATCAAGAAGTTCTCTGAAATTTGATTTTAAGCACTTTTCATTCTTTCTCCTGAAATAAGCACAAAATACCAAATATAAGTAGAATCCGACGATTAAAATAATATTTGGCTAAAATCAGGGGGAGAATAATTATAAATTTAACAACAAATTATGACCTATCAAATAGTGACAACTGGCACGGTTAGATTCGTGCCAAGGGGATACGCGGGCTAATATGAAATAACCCTGGTAGTGCGTTATTTGGTTAGAATAGACCTCCTCTAATACGTAAGGCAATTGGAAAATTAAATCTTACGGGCGTACCTAGAATTATTTTCTAATTAGAGCAGTGATTAACGAGCGTACCTTAATCATCGACACAGTAAGGAGGAGTTGACTGCCATCGCTTGTTTGGTAGTTATAACCTATTTATTGATAAATAATTGGAATTACCTTTGCATCGATGATCAATTAGGTGAACCATTGCTGAAGTTATTTCTTGGCTAAATCTTTAATTAATATTACCTTGATTTTAGTGAATTGCCATTTGACTTTTAGTTGCCTACTTTATTTTATTTTTAATTATTTTCTTGTTTTAATTGATTTAGACCTTTAATTATTGTTACTCTGAATTCAGTGAATTGTTGTTTAATTTCTGGTTAGTTATTTATTTTTTTATTTACATTTATTTGATTGTCGTCATTCCTACAAAATCACCCCCTATGTTACTTTGAATTTCTTAAAAAACAAATATGCCCAATCCCTGAGTATACGACCCTACTTGCCCTGTTTACAAATTCATAATTATTTGTGAAAAAAAATCATCCCATTCGAGTATATCGGATTTAGCAAACTCTTCGGGAACAGGGTGAATCAAGTAACCCATTGCACACCTAGAGTCCCTGTTCCAGTACTTGAAATTGGGTTTTGATCATTTTAACTGACAATTAGGTTTAATTTTATTATTGTATAGGTTTCGACACCCTGTTAATTTTTGACGCCGTTGCCGGGGACTGGCGTTATTTTTCTAGTATTTTTCTAATGTATGCCTTGGTCTTCTTGTACAGGTGATTTGATTTTTGACCCTGAAGTAGAGAAGATCGCTCGCAGAACGAGAAAGAAAACCAGACAGCTCAGAGAGAAGCAGTTCAGTGTTGCATTTCAGAGACCTGAGCTAGAAGTTGAACCAACAGATTCGTTTGGTGACACTTCGAGTGACTCTGACCAGGAGGAAGGAGCCATGGCTAATGCACGAACATTAACGGAGTTGGCTGCTCCTGATTTAAATCAGCAGCCTTTATGCATTACCTTCCCCACCTTAAATGATAACACTCCATTTGAACTAAAATCTGGTCTGATTCATCTTTTACCCTTTTTTCATGATTTACCAGGTGAAAAATCGTATAAGTATCTGCAAGAGTTTGATATCGTGTGCAATAGTATGAAATCCCTGGGCATTATAGAAGAGCAGATAAAAATGAGGGCATTCTCCTTTTCCTTGAAGGATTCTGCAAAGGACTGGCTGTACTACCTGCCACCAGGTAGCATTACCACGTGGGACCAATTAAAGAAAAAAATTTTAGATAAATATTTTCCTACGTTCAGGGTTGCAAGTCTAAGGAAAGAAATTTGCGAGATCAAGCAGTACCCAGGGGAGTCACTCTATAAGTATTGGGAGCGGTTCAAGAAGTTGTGCATCAAGTGCCCCCAGCACCAGATAAGTGAGCAGTTGCTCATACAGTATTTTTATGAGGGGTTCCTTTTCAGGGACATGAGTATAATTGATGCTGCAAGTGGAGGGGCATTGGTGAACAAAACCCCTCGGGAAGCATGGGAGTTAATTGAGGGAATGACAGAGAATTCACAGCAATTCGGTACGAGAGAGGATGTCCCAATACATAAGGTGAATGAGGTAGAGACATCCTCTATCCAGCAGCAGCTAACTGAGTTGACTTCTTTTGTTAGGCAATTGGCTGTAGGAAATGCATCTCAGGCCAAGGTGTGTGGGATTTGCACTGGTATGGGTCACTCTATGGACATGTGTCCAATGATGCAAGAGGAGGGTACAGAGCAAGTGAACATGGCAGGCCACGCGCCTGCGCCAAGGAGGCCCTATGACCCCTATTCAAGTACCTATAACCCAGGTTGGAGGGACCACCCTAACCTCAGTTATGGAGGGAATAGGCAGACTAATTTCGTGCCAAATAAGCAATCAGGGTACCAACAGCAGTACCAACCCCGACCACCTCCCCCCCCCCGAGCTCTGGTCCATCTTTGGAGGAGATGATCAAGCAACTACTTGCTAATCAACAAAAGGCGGACTCCGAAAGGCAGGACATAAGAAATCAGATGAATCAAATGACCAAAGCAATCAACCGTCTGGAGTCTCAAGTAAATGGAAGATTGCCATCCCAACCTGAACTGAACTTGAAGAACGTAAGTGCAATGACTGTAAGGAGCGGGAAGGAAATTCAGGGGCCCGAACTTGTGACTCCAAAGGATAAGGACAAAGAGAAAATTGAGAAAGAACTTCAGGCAGAGAATACAAGCACCAAAAATTCAGTGGTACTCCTTGACCCGATCATAGACGTTAAAACTAATCCCCCTCCATTTCCTTACAGGTTGGAGAAACCGAAACAGCAGGACAAAGAGAAAGAGATCCTGGAGGTGTTCCGCAAGGTAGAGATCAACATTCCCTTACTAGACGCCATCAAGCAAGTGCCGAAGTATGTAAAATTTCTGAGGGACCTATGTGTCAATCGAAGGAGGCTGAGGGGAGATGAAAGAGTTATTATTGGGGAGAATGTGTCAGCAGTACTCCAAAGAAAGTTCCCACCAAAGTGTGGGGATCCAGGTAGGTTTACTGTCCCATGTAAGATAGGTAATACTCTGATTAGGAATACCTTGCTGGACTTAGGAGTATCGATCAACGTAATGCCTAAATCTATGTATGCTTCTCTGAACCTCGGTCCATTAAAAGAAACCGAACTAATAATTCATTTAGCTGACCGAACGAATGCATACCCTGATGGGTTGGTAGAGGATGTGCTGGTTAAAGTTAATGAATTGATATTCCCGGCTGACTTTTATGTACTTGACATGGATGATGATCATTCCCCTGACCCTCACCTTTGCTACTAAGTAAACCCTTTTTTAGCACAGTACAGACAAAAATTGACGTTAATAAGGGTACATTGTCCATGAAATTTGATGGAGAACTAGTCCACTTTAATATTTTTGATACAATGGAACATCTTGTTAACTTTCACCCTGTGTTTGCTATTCATGCTATTAATCCCTCTGTGCAAGAATTTTCTGAGTTTGCTTGTAGGGATAAATTCAAATTTACTGAGAACAAGTATAAGGGGATGAAAGCACTGTATGAGGTGAAAAGGAGTAGAAAATTAAGAAAGAAGGCTGCACTCAAAGGCTATTTGGATCCTGGAGGAGGGCCACAGATTTTCAGAAAAATTGAGTTACACCCAGATTGAAAAGTGGTGTCCAATGTCTAACTAAAAACGTTAAAGAAAGGCGCTCATTGGGAGGCAACCCAATTATTTCTTTTAATTATTTGTTTTGATTTCGTGTAATAGTTTAAATATGTTTTCCATGAATTTGACTGATTTCGGGTTTCAATTTTCATTTTTGATGAGTTGTAGGTGTTCTTCTGTCATGACGGGCTCGCGTCATGACGTATGGAGAGCTCACGGTCAGAATTGTCCGAAGGGATTCTTGCCCTCATAACGCGCCCGCGTCATGACACATGGAGAGTTCACGATCAGAATCGTCAGAAGGGGTTCTTACCCTCTTGACGTGCCCGCGCCAAGTAACAAGGAAAGTTTCTCATTCCGTGCCTTCTTGACGTGCCCTCGTCACGTTCGCGGGAAAGATAAGTATTCAAAAAAAACTCAAGAACGATTATTGATTTCCTGTTAATCTCTATTTTTGAATTCCAAAAATAAATTTTGTCAATGATAATAAAAAAAAAGATGATATATGTAAAAAAAAAAAAATTCAAAAAAAAAAATTTCATGTAAGTAACAAGAAGAAAAAAAAAGAGTCTTTCCGTAAAAACAAAAGAAATTTTTTTTCTAAAATGAAAAAAAAAAGAAAAAAACACAATACTATTTTCTTTTTTTTTTCCTTTCTTTCCTTTTCTTTTTCTTTCTTTCCTTTCTTTCTTCTTCCTTCTTTCTCTTTTCTTTCTTCTATCTCGCTGCCCCTGTCCGCCCTTTCTTTCTTTTCCTCTGTGCCCGCCGCCGATTCCGCCAGTCACGCCCGCCCCAAGGCTATCATCGCCACACGCCGCCGTCGTTTCCTCCACCTAGCCACGCGAAGCAGCCGCAAGTCGACGCTGCTGGAGTCCGCAAGTCGACGTTGCTGGAGTCCGCGAGCTGCCGCTGCTCACTCCGCGCCTCGCTTTCTCTACCACAGCAGATCCCTTGCCCGCCGCTATCCGCAGCATCATGCGCTGCCGCTGCCCACAGCCGCGCGCCTCTCTCTAGCTTGTCCGCCGACCACCAGACCCACTCCATAGTCCCCACCAACCCTCTCAGCCACGCCGCTCGCTCCTGCTCCACCTTTGACCGCCGCTGTCCTCATTGATACCACCGCTTTCCCCTACTCGCGATCTCCTCCGTCCATAGCAACACACGCGCCATCGCCACTCACGCGACGCTCCACACCAGTCGCCCAGCCCACCGCGGGCAAGAGTCGCACGACGCTGCCCCTGTGTCAGTCACCACCAGTTCCACCTTCTTTGCCTATCGACCGGTGGAGGTATTTGTAACTCGGTTCTCAAATTGTTGGCGGTGATTAGTTGTTATTTTGGTTTATCCGTGATTTGGTATGGGTCGTGTGTGATTTATCTTCCATTATTCGCTGCACCAGTGGTACTGGTGGAGTAACTAAACCTCAATTTGGTACCTCTATTTGGTTGGTTGCGTTCTTATTGTCCAATATCTACCCTGTTTTCATTGAAATTGCTAATTTTGAGTTAAGACTTTAACTGGCCAACTGGAGCCATTTATTGAGATTTTGGGTAAACTGAAATACTGCACTTGTTTGTTCAATTGGGAGGTTTCTATGCCATTTACATTGCTTATTCCAGTTGGGTGCATCTGATTGAATTGCTGGGAAATATTCTGACCATTGCTTTCAATTGCTAAGTTTGTTGAGGTTTCTTTTGAGATTCTGGTTGAGTTATTTCTGAAGTTGCCTGATGAATTGGGAGACATTATTAGCAATTGATCTGCTCTGATATTGCTCTGTTGGTGGCACGTTCTCTTTCTTGTGATTAGATTAACGCTTGGGGCTATTGCTTTACTACTCTGCTATAGAAACTTCATTGATTTTGGACTACGTTTTCCACCAGTAGTACTGGTTGGAGTATTTTTCCTTGCATGTGTCAGTTCTATTTGGTTGAATACCTAATTGACTGCTGGGCATGTGTGACTGAGTTGTTCTTGTGCAATTGGAGATATTTGGAGAGATTTTGGGTGGGCAAGTTGTGTCGCTCTCTATTGATATTTGGGAGACACCAGTGGCTATTAAATTGTTATTGTTTTGAATTTGTTGTTTACATTATTTTTGGGCAATTCTTGTCTCTTGTTGATTGAAATGACATTTGGAGAAAATGGTGAGGCCCAAGCCCTCATCTTCTGCGCCTCCCCCATCAATGGCCTCTGATGTTAAGTCACACCACTTGCGGGCTCAGATTTACCACGTAGTTGAGAGAGTGATGAACATCACCCGCCAAGTGGCAAGGATGTCTTAGAACTTGACCGCGTACTTCCACTACATCGGCTTCCCTCCACCATTCTTGCCTACCCTTACCTACTCGAGAGGGAAGTTTCGTTGTTCTCTTTGCTTTAATTGACAGGTTTCCTCCATTGAGGACAATGTAGGATTTAGGTGTGGGGGGGAACATATGGGGGTGCTAGCGTTTCTAATTTTTAGATGTTTTTCCTTTATTATTATTAATTTTTTTTTCTTTAGTTTGTTATTTGGCCATCTTTCGTGCATTTTCTTTCTTTCTTTTTAGTGATTAGCTCACATGTGCATGCCAAAGTTTGATATTGGATTGTTGCATCTATTTCTACTTTTGCCAAGTTTTAATAATAAGAATGTATCAAGTTAATGTGGTTGAATTCAAGAACATCTCTTTGGTGAATATCGATGATTGTTTTACTTTTATAATTTTTGGTTAACTTTTCTAGGCATAGGGAATAATTGTTGGCATTTTCATGTGAATTGATCCGGTTATTAACCTTAGTTCTCCATGTTTGAAAATGAGGCTAGCGGCTGCAAATTTTCTTTTAATTTTTGTGTTATTTTGAAATTGTGATGTTATTTGGCTGTGAATAAAAGTTAACTGTACTCCGCTAGTCTTTACTACCAAGTAACTGGGGGTCTTCACCAAAAGTGTCGATTTTCGCGTCAAAAAGTAGTAATTGCTATGAGTACGTGGTCACATGGCGATAGAAGCTGAGTAACCGGGCTCTTTCATCTAACAAATGTCAAAGTTCGCGTCAAAAGGCTCCGATGGCTAGCGACTAAGTCTCTTGCGCTATTGAAAAAAGCAAAAAAAAAAAAAAGAGAAGAAAATATCAAAAAATAGAAAAATGTGATAAAAAAAAGTGAATGTTGTGTTAGTGTATAATAAAAGTCAGCTTGCCGATTTATGGATTTAATGTTGAGATTTTGGTTATTAATTGGACCATTTGTTGATAAATATTGTGTGTCATTCCTTTTTCTTAGATTAGTTAATCTGAAATTAGAGGAGTTTGTGGTTTAGAAGCTAACCGGAATGTTGTTTCTTGGACTTGACCATTGATGCTTGATTACTATTTTTCTTGGTATCTTGGCAATTTGTTGGATAGAGCAATAGCCACTATCAAATATTGGTGTTTGTTTGTTATTCTCATACTTGAGAACAAGCATGGTTTAGGTGTGGGAGGAATTGATAGGTTACAAGTTTATCATTTATTTTATTATTAATTTTTCCTATTTCCTGACATAATGTGAATTAATTATTAGATTCTACTCACTTTTCGTAATTTACATTTATTTCAGGGAGCAGAATGAAAATGCCACAACCAATGCCAATTTGACAGTCATCGGGAAAGAGTTCAAATAGCAGGCAATCAAGGGCATTTTTGGAACAAGGAGATACAAGTCCTTTTTGATAATTCGCAGAAGACAGCATTAAAAAGAGGAACGAAGGGCTGAAGTCAGGGGGTCTTCGGCCTCTCCGGAAGGAGAGCCGTCGCACAGGTGACAGGCAATAGCAGAGGCCACTTAGTTAGGAAGTTAGAAGTGCAGAGGCAGGGCACTTTTCGTCTGTTAGCTTAGGCTAGCCGTTGACTTTTCAATGGTATTCCTTTTCTTACTTTTTGGTTCTCTTCTCCCGTGGATGAAAAGGAAAAAAAGATTGGAAAAGCTTTTGACTTGTTTTCCCTTTTAGCTTTTGAGTAGTTTTCCCTCCGTATGTTAGAGAGGGCAAAAACAATCAATTGCCTCCGGCAGTTTGCTTTCCTTGTTAAACAGAACGAATTGAACTTGCGCACTTTCCCATTGATGGCCGCAGCTTTTGCTTTAATTCCCTATAGATTTTGTTCATCAATTATGAACTAAATTTCCTCACTCTCGTCAAGGAACAACGGATGCTTTGGGTCACCTAAAATTGTGAGATCGATTTAATTTAATCCTTTTCTTTTATTTATTGGTATTCGCATATTCTTTGGTTGCAGTGCTTATGATTATTTAATTAATTGATTGTCTTGGATCCGGATAATTGGTTAATTTGATAATCTATTGTCAATTGGGACATTAAATCCGTAATTGTTTAATTGCTCTAAAATAGTGACAACTGGCATGATTGGGTTTGTGTCAAGAAAATACGCGGGCTAATCTAAAATAATCCTGATAGTGCGTTATTTGGTTAGAATAGGGCTCCTCTAATACGTAAGACAATTGAAAAATTAAATCTTATGGGCATACCTAAGATTATTTCTCAATTAGAGCAGTGATTAACGGGCGTACCTTAATCACCGACACAGTAAGAAGGGGTTGACTGCCATCGCTTGTTTGGTAGTTATAACCTATTTATTGATAAATAATTGGAATTGCCTTTGCTTCGATGATCAATTAGGTGCACCATTGCTGAAGTTATTTCTTGGCTAGAGCCTTAGTTATCATTCATTTGATTTTAGTAATTTGTTATTTAATTTTTAGTAGCTTCTTAGATTTTATTTGAATTTCTTTGATTGTCACCTTCTGCACAAAATACCCCATTTGTTACTGTGAATTTGAAAAGAAACAGTTACCCCCAATCCCTGTGGATTCGACCCTACTTACCACTATTTACAAATATTAACTTCAATTGAGCAGATTTTTATTATTGCACAGGCTGACAACCTGTCAATTTTTTGGGAACATATGAGGGTGCTAGCGTTTCTAGTTTTTAGATGTTTTTCCTTTATTATTATTAATTTTTTTCTTTAGTTTGTTATTTGGCCATCTTTTATGCATTTTCTTTCTTTCTTTCTTTCTTTCTAGGCATAGGGAATGATTGTTGGCATTTTCATGTGAATTGGTCCGGTTATTAACCTTAGTTCTCCATGTTTGAAAATGAGGCTAGCGGCTGCTAATTTTCTTTTGATTTTTGTGTTATTTTGAATTTTTGGTGTTATTTGGCTGTGAATAAGAGTTGACTGTACTCCGCTAGTCTTTACTACCGAATAACCGGGGGTCTTCACCAAAAGTGTCGATTTTCGCGTCAAAAAATAGTAATTGCTATGGGTACGTGGTCACGTGGCGATAGAAACTGAGTAACCGGGTTCTTTCATCTAACAAATGTCAGAGTTCGCGTCAAAAGGCTCCGATGGCTAGAGACTAAGTCTCTTGTGCTATTGAAAAATAAAAGAGAAAAAATAATAAATAAATAAATAACGAAAAAAAAGAAGTGAAAGTTGTGTTAATGTGTGATAAAAGTCAGCTTGCCGATTTATGAATTTAATGTTGAGATTTTGGTTAATAGTTGGACCATTCGCTGATAAATGTTGTGTGCCATTTCTTTTTCTTAGATTAGTTAACCTAGAATTGAAGGAGTTTGTGGTTTAGAAGCTAACCGGAATGATGTTTCTTGGATCTTGATCACTGATACTTGATATATGTTTTTCTTGATATCTTGGCAATAAGATAGATGGAGCAATAGCCATTGTCGAATATTGGTGTTTATTTACTGTTCTTATGCTTGAGGACAAGCATGATTTAGGTGTGGGGGAATTGATAGGCTGTAATTTTCTCATTTATTTTATTATTAATTTTCCTTATTACCTGACTTGATGTGGATTAATTGCTGGATTCTACTCATTTTTAGTATTTTGTATTTATTTCAGGGAGTAGAACGAAAATATAATAACAGGTGCCAATTTGATAGAAAAGGAGTCCAAATGATAGAGCTTGTCCCAGGGGCATTTTTGGAAAAGAAGATGTCACGCCCATTTTGGTAATTTCTGCAAAGGAATGACGGACGAAGGGCTTCTTCTCCCTGGTGTGCCGCCGCAATTAAAAAGAAGAGCAATTAGTATAGGAACAAAAGGGGGTAGCAGAGAGTTGGACTATGGTTTTTGCTTTCCTTTTTCCTTTAACTTTGACTTTTCTTCCTTAGCTTGTGGTAGTGGGATTCATCTACGGATGTCAGGAGCAAAATTGGAAAAACCTCGACTTTTCTTCATCTGAACTATTGGCAATTGCTTTTGCTTTTTCGTATATCATCCAAAGTGAAACAGAGGGCTACCTCTTGTAACTTTGCTATCTTTTTTTTGATTGAAACGAATTCGCTCATTTTTCAATTGATGGCCGCTGCTTCCTTTACAATTTCCTGTGGGTTTTGTTCATCAAACATGAACTAATTTTTCCACTCTAGTCAAGGGACAACGGAGGTTTTGGTTCGCCTAAAATTGTGAGATCGATTTAATTTAATCTTTTCTTTTTATTTATTGGTATTCGCATATTTCTTGATTGCTATGCTTATGGTTATTTAATTACTTGATTGTCTTGGATCCAGATAATTAATTGATTTGGTAATCTTTTGTCAATTAGGGCATTAAATCCGTAATTGTTTAATTGTTCTGAAATAGTGACAACTGGCACGATTAGATTCGTGCCAGGGGAATACGCGGGCTAATCTGAAATAACCCTGGTAGTACGTTATTTGGTTAGAATAGGGCTCCTCTAATACGTAAGACAATTGGGGAATTAAATCTTACGGGGGTACCTAAAATTATTTCCTAATTAGAGCAGTGATTAACGGGCGTACCTTAATCATCGACACAGAAAGGAGGGGTTGACTGTCATCGCTTGTTTGATAGTTATAACCTATTTATTGATAAATAATTGAAATTGTCTTTGCATCGATGATCAATTAGGTGAATCATTGCTGAAGTTATTTCTTGGCTAGATCTTTAATTAATATTACCTTGATTTTAGTGAATTGCCATTTGGCTTTTAGTTGCCTACTTTATTTTATTTTTAATTATTTTATTGTTTTAATTGATTTAGGCCTTTAATTATTGTTACTCTGAGTTCAGTGAATTGTTGTTTAATTTCTAGTTAGTTATTTATTTTTTTTATTTTTTTATTTACATTTATTTGATTGTCGTCGTTCCTACAAAATCACCCCCTGTGTTACTTTGAATTTCTTAAGAGACAAATATACCAAGTCCCTGAGAATACGACCCTACTTGCCCTGTTTACAAATTCATAATTATTTGTGAAAAAAACCATCATATTCGGGTATATCGGATCAAGCTAACTCTTAGGAAACAGAGTGAATCAAATAACTCATTGCACACCTAGAGTCCCTGTTTCAGTACTTGGAATTGGATTTTGGTCATTTTAACTGGCAATTAGGTTTAATTTTATTATTGTACAAGTTTCGACACCCTGTCAGTTTTCAAGAACGTAATCACACCAAAAAATTTTAATTTCGATCAATCACAGGGTAGGTTAGACTCAAGTGATAAAATCAAGAAAACAAAAATCAAAATTTATTTTTGTTTCTTTTAAATGAAAAGGCGGAAAGATCTATCTTGACCAGGTTATTGAACAATAATTACCTTGTTAGATCTAAAGAGAACTCGTCTCTAGAAACCTAGTGGATTGGTTATTGGTATGGAACAATAACTATCTTACTAGACCTAAAGAGAACCCGTCTCTATAAATCTAGTGGATTGGTTATTGGTTTGAAAGAATAAGATGATGTGATCATCTTGCCTTGAACACCACAAGTATCCAAGTTAAATATTTGATACTGTTCAAGAAGAAACTTAAGTTCCATCGAGGATCTACATAAAAGGAGACAACTCTCTTTTTACTAATTTATCTTCAATATCATTTATGAATAGTTAAATAAAATTGGTTATTTATAGCCTTACAAGACTCAAAACTCTAATTTAAATTGGAAACAATACAAGTTTTCTTATTTGATTTGACACAACTTCCTAAATAAATTTGGAAGCAATTAACTACTTTCCTAAAACTCTAATTCAATTATAATAGGAAACTAACTGACTCAATTGGCTTAACTATGGTCAGCCTTTATTTCCTTTAATAACTCAAGACTAACTAACAAGTATTGTTGGAAACTTATTTAAATAAATAACAAGAAATAAGCATGACAAATTTTCAATGATTCTTGAACCCGATTGCACAATCAACCATCAATCGAATTTTCTTGAATTTGAAGGGAATCTAAATCTTTATGTTCTCATCAGAACAATACCACTGTAATGATGATGAGAACCACACCTCCAGCAACTGAACTAATAATCGCGGGCAAATGCTTGTTTCCTGATCCACTTCCATCTGGAATTGGACCTGGAAAGTTAACCAACTGCATAATCTCTACCCCATTAAGAAAGGCTGTTTGATTCCTAGAATCTTGCCGTGGGCCAATACTTACATTCATAAAACCAGAATCATCTGAATGCACCACAAAATCAATGTAAAAAGGAACTGCCGTCATGGCTGCGGTAGTTGAATCTTGTGGATCAATTTTTTGGCTAAAGTTACTATAAATATAGAGATTGAATTTCAATTTCCCGCTACCAGCCTGACTAATTACGTCACAAAAATGCACCCGGACTAGAAATTTGGCATTTCCATTTACATTGAATCCCCAAGAAACATTAGAATTTGTTTTCGGGAGAGTGACACCTTGCTGACTAGGAGCGATGTTGAGCTCTTTGGCAGTGTTATAAACAGGGTCAGGAGCATCAAACTTTGTTGCAGATCCAGGCTGGTAATTAGGCGGTGCACTACGAAATGGAGTGTTAGTGGCTGCATCCCAGAAGACCAAATAATCATCATCAGGTATCCAATTTCTCCCCAAAGTATCAGTGTCCGGTGTTACAGTCAATCCACCAACGCTAATCCTATGAACTACTTGTAAAGCATTGGGCAACAAACCATTGTAAACTCCTTTGCTTCCAGCAGGAGTTATGTAAAAAGGAGAATCCTGAATGAAGTTATCAGGAGCAAGAAATGCTTCTATAGCATTAACAAAGGCAAAAGAAGATGACCCGGAAGGCGTGAAGTAAATTTGGAAATTCCCCACATCGATACGGATCAAGAACTCTTTAATCACAGGTGATTTACTGGTGCTACTATTTTGGACGCTGAAGTTGGATTGGAGTGAAAACTTGGAAGTTGACGCGTCGAATCTGACAGTAGCAAGATTATCTGGAGAAGTGAAAGCATAGAAGTGAAAACGTACCACGTAAATGCCATTCTAGACAAGGTCAAGATCATATGAAGATTTTTGTCTGAAAATTCTTGCAGTTTGATAGAGTGGAGAAGATGCTGAATCCGATGATTGGTCTTCTTTGGCTATGTTGCTGTGGCTTGTGGACAAGGTGAAAGAATCGGGATTGACGTCGCCGACGAAGTTCCGCCCGTAGACGGTTGTGCTGCCACTTGAGCCACAGTTGATGAAGTAGCGATCAGGTACGCTGTAAGCGGAGGTGTTGATTCCGTTGAACAACAAAAGATAGCAGCACAAATTGAAGAGGACATAAACTGTTTTTGGAGGATGAAGGATTTCCATTGAATTTTAGTGGAAATGGATGAGTTTCATCAAGATGGTTTCTTGAGTCAGTACTGTGAAGTCCACGGAATGGGAAGCCTTATAGTCTTTAGCTAACTTTTTCTCATGCGGGTACGAAATGGAAGAGGACAACACATCCGCCTGAAGCTGCATTAAATTTTAGGGATAATTTCAGACCTCCCTTCAAATTTGAAAAATTATAGAAGCCTCCCCCTAAAAAGTATGTTTTAATAACAAATGGTGACGTCAGCACAAAAAAGTACTGCCCCAATTTGATTTAACAAACAAATTAAATGCAAAAGAAATCAAATATCAGCATTACTTATTAAGTAAAAAAAATTTTGGCAACTCTTCTTTGCAGCAAAATTTAGGTAATGTTTCAAGGCATTATTTTTAATGTTTGGATTTCTTTTTCCTTTTTTTCTAATAAATTATGAAGAAATTGTTTTTAATAAATGCACCCCTACTAATCAGCTATTTATAAAACTAAGTAGAAAATCCATTTAAATGACCTAAGAATTGAATACAATGTATTACTAGCCGAGATGGAGTTAAAGCTTTTGGATAAAGAAATATTTCCGAGATGCGATTTTCTTTTTCCTTTACACCCACTTTTCACTTAAGATTTGTAAAACTGTCAAAACTATTATAGACTTTTTATAACACCAACGAAGATCAGTGTAATTTTTTAAATCTCAAGTCAAGAAAATTGGCTGAATTGTTAGAAATCTCAAGAGAAGTTTATGAAACTATTTCTAAAAATTTAAGGATCCGGAGCCCTTCCATATTTGAGTTCTGTCCAATTGGATAAAGAGTAAATCTTATATACACTGACGGTATATACACCATCACAATTGAATATACGACGACACATATATAAAATTTGAGTTTCAAATCAAATTCGGATTATGTGTCACGTATCTAACGGTGAAAGTGTATACACTATCAGTGTATAGAAGATTAATCCTTGGATAAACTAACACAATTTTTTTTATATAAACTGATATATTATTGATGTAATCGTGAGTTTTACATCAACTTCGTTATAATTCACGTTATATAAAAAAACTTGTAGTATCAATTTATAAATTCTTAACAATTCACACAACTAGCTAGACACGATGGGACCCCTATGTCCTATCAAACTTGTGGCGGAAGGTGAGTGAAAGAAACACGACTTTGACTGCGGCAGGCGGGTTGACTTCTAGTCGTCGGATGAGTACATATTAGAGTGCGGATTCCACTTCCCAGTAGAGATTAATAGTTGACGGAGTCCACCACTCACAAGCATGAATTCTTATTTTGATTTTTTTAGGGCAGTATTGTTTAAGCAAAAATCAGGAGTATCAGATACAATATCCTTTATTCTGTCTCAAATTAAGAAACCTTTTTTGAGTGAGAAAAAGGATTGTAGGCTTTAGGATTCTTGTGTGCTAGCTCCCTATGTTGATGCTTTTTTCTGTTGAAAAATTTCAAAAGTGTTTGTTTTTTTTTTCTTTTTGATGGGTGGAAAAGTCAGGAAATAATTACCGGATTGTATTTTTCTGAATTTTTTGTAGAAAAATTTCACAAGTATGGAAGTATCTTTAGCTAGGTGCAAGGAGTTCAACTACAAAGATAAAAAGTAAGAAGGGAAAAGAAATTTCAATTGCAAATTAAAAAAGGGTAAACAACAAAAAAGCCCCCTGTGGTTAAGCAATCATATATAAAAGCCCCCTGTGATTTCATATCATACCAGTCGATACCCCGTGATTTGAATTAACGTGAAAAGTGGACGGAAATCGTCAAATATTCGGCGTGTGTCTTAAACGAACTGCAAAGGCGCGTGCATATGCGAAAAACAGATTTCCACCACAAACTTTCACCTGATATGCCTACTTTGCCCTTCACTCTTTAATAATAAGAGATCAGCTTCCAAGTCTTCCGACTCTTCATGTTCGGCCAAAATTGAAGATTGAAGGCAGCATTCGAAGCCTGTGCAAGTAATCAATCAAGCAGAGCTTACAGGCTAGCAAAGGAATTGCAGGAAACAAAGCCTTAAGGTAAAAATGTAAACTGTATCTGTATATATTCGGTCTGCAAATTCTGAAGGAAAAGTGCAGAAAGTACCCCAAGATGTCTTCCTCAAGCTCTCGACCAACAAGCGGGGGAAATGGAGGCAGAGGTCTTCGATACCAGTACAAGGTATGTAATTGTCGAAGGAAGGCAAAGCTAAAGATTGTTGAGAATCAGGTAATAATTTAGTGTGCTTCCAAGTTCACCTAGCAATAATTTAGTTAGTTCGGGAAATGCCTTACTTATCAGGAAGGACACGTTTCTTACCAGATGCAGTTTCTTACGGAAATCAAGGAAACAAGGTTTGCTTTCACAAAGATATACATTACCTATGTCCATATCTTTCAGGTTATTTCCATAGTTTAGGATGGGATATGCTTTACAACCTAAATTGAGGGGCCATATAGTATTGGCAACCAAGACTGATGTAGCAACAGAAGAGACTGATTTGCCTGGAGCTGATAAAGATACTGGTGAAGTCTCTGAAAGTCCATTAGATGCTATTGAAACAAACGAAGATTCCTCTGCTAAATCAGATGGAAGCTCCATTACTGCTCGATCTAAGCGAACAAGACCCGTTAGGAAGAGTGACATGCCTCCTATCAGGACTGAGGATTTGATTCCTGGTGCAACTTATGTAACTTGTGATTTATTTGTTTGGCAGCTACACGTGAATTTTTTGGAGTAGCATGAGAATCATTAAAGGTTTCTTTATTTCTACTCTAACAATTAGATTGCATGGATCTTGCTTGCAATTAAATAGGGCAAGGTGAATTTGACCTCTTCCATATGATTATTTGCTCTTTCTTGGGTATGTAGTTGCCACTGACATGCACTATATTGGAAATACAATTTTATGTAGTGAAAGGGAAGATATTATACATCTTATGTTTTTCTTTCCCAGTTTGCAAAATGTGCGCACTACTTAAATAATTTCTTTGATTTTGCATGAAGGTTTTAGTACCTTGTCTCTGGTATTCTGCAATCTAAAATTGCATATTTCTGTTTGTTCTAAAACATTTTTGTGGAAATAGAGTTCGTGCTGCTTTCTGTTTCTTTTGTTTGACTCTGCTGTTTAGCCATCTGCATCAACTGAGCTTCTTAGTTATTTGGGGTAAGTCCAGACAGGGCCCTTGGGGGTATGGGTTGGGGTGGGTTTTGGGATAAGACAGACTTTATCTAAACTTGATTGGTTTTTGAAGTCTTTGTCTGCAATTTTCGCTTATATCAAAAGGGTATTTTCGTCTATTCACTCAGCTCCGTCTGTTTTGACGATTTCCGTCCACTTTTCAGGTTAATTCAAACCACGGGGTATCGACTGATATGATATGAAACCACGGGAGGCTTTTATGTATGATTGCTTAATCACAGGGGGCTTTTTTGTTGTTTATCCATTAAAAAATAACTGACAATAATCATCGCAAGAAAAAAAAGCTTGTAAAGGTATCGAAGGAGAATTGGACCACTCTTCAATTGTCAGTTGGCACGTTCAGGCAAGTTGGCGCAAAAAAAAAATTGATGAAATTGCATTTTTTTTTAAATCCTCTCACCCGCTCCAACATCCTTCTTATTAGGGTTGCAAACGAATCGAGTCGGGTTGAGTTTTGACCTAATCGAGTCAAGTCTTAACTTAGTTTTATCGAACTCGAATTGGACAAACTACCAATTTAAAGCTCGAACTCGAAAAAATAAAAATAATTTTTTTAAAAAAAATAAATAATAAAATATTAGAAATATATAATTATAATAGTAAAATAAAAATAAAAATATATATACTTGAGTTCATGAACCAACTCGTAAACTAATGAGTTTAATATTTTTAAACTTAAACTCGAGCTTGATTTGGTTAGTTTGAGCTCGACTTGAGCACTCATGAGCCACTCGCGAGCAGTTCGATTTGTTTGCAACCCTACTTCTTATTTCTGGCTATCACGCACAAAATTTGAACTCTGAACTCGATGAAATTGCTTGAGTGAAAGCACAATTTAAAAAAAGAAAGAAAAAATCTTTCAAGTGAAGCACAACCAATGAAATTTGCACATGTGCCACTCAAAATCATTGGCAAATGATAATGTAGTTGGGCCAAGTCGTAAACCTATTTATATGCTGTCACCATCCCACTTTATTTGTTGATAGTTACTCTGTCGCTAAGTTGTTTCACTGCTCAAAAAGGTAGAAGTGGCCCGTTTGAATTATTATCTTTTAAAATTTTTATTAAAATATATTATAATAATCTGATGTATCTAAAATAAAAAATTAATTAATAAATGCATTCATATAAAATATAAAAGTTATTTTAGAAAAAAAAAGATTTTTCAAACATAAGCTTGGGTTAAAAACACCAAACTCTTGGTGACTGCATAGTGCTTCGTGTGCCTGCATGGCATACTGTAGCTAACAATACATTCTACCTAACTCACTAATTGAGAGCAGGTGTGTTTGATAAAATTAAATTCTGAAAATTAAAATATAAAATCTAGATTAATTAATTTATTAAATTGTTAAGTACTAAATTTGATATGTTTAAATGTATATCACATTAAGTGATGAATGAATAACTTATCACTTATTTTTAGGAGGAAGTTTTGCCTAAAAAATTCGGTTTCATTAAATTTATTCAGATGTTTAATTTTTTGTTATCAAACTAGTCTAAATATTTTAATATTTGAATCTATTAAGCAAGTGCTGAATTGAACTCGGGATAATTTCAAAAATTGCCCCTGAGTTTGTTTGACAATTTCACTAGCCTTACACAAACCTCCTCTGAGGTTAAGATTTTGATAACAAATTAGTCCAATTAAAAAAAAGGTAACATTAAAAAAGTACTTTAAGGAGAGAGATGTAACTTTTATTCTATCAATACCCCTTATGCATGTACATAAGTCGTATTAGTAAAAGAATAAAAATAATTACAAGTTAGAAACAATTAATACACACATTTAACC